TATATATATATATATATATATATATATATATATATATATATATATATATATATATATATATATATATAAATCAGTATCAGTAAAAACAGCAAGGTTTGTTTGGTAATACTCCACCTTTCCCAGCTTTGCTATATCTCTGTAGAGAGACAGTGGCAGTGTGAACAGAACTGTAGACATCGCGATTACAAAATGTCTCTCTGTGAGAATGTTTCCAGGACCAACTGAAAACAAAAACAACAACATACACTGCTTTAAATCAATACATTTATTGAGTGTGTGACGTTTACACGCAAAACTGATGAAATTAAATTTCATATTTAAGTCCCCATAGGCAGCACGTTGGCTCAGTGGTTAGTACTGTCGCCTCAGAGCAAGAACGTTGCTGGTTGCTGGTCAGTAGTCATTTCTGTGTGGAGTTTGCATGTTCTGCCTGTGTTGGCATGGGTTTCCTTTACGTGCTCCGAATTCCCCCACAGTCCAAACACATGCGCTATAGGTCAAATGAATAAACTAAATTGGTGTATGAGTGTTAATGTAAGAGTGCATGGGTCTTATCCACTACTGGGTTGTGACTACAAGGGAAAATTAAACAGGAAAATTCAAGAGAAACATAATAAATAATAAATTTAGTTTGTATTTTTGTAGTTTGTATTTTATTTTTTGTAATAACTCGTACTTTAATGGGTATATTTATATTGGTTTATTTGTTTACATTTATTCATTCGGCAGACGCTTTTGTCCAATTGAGGAAGCATTTGGCGATTCAACAAGAACAGGCAATACACAAACAAAAAAAGGGCTAATTATACAAAGAAACCTGTGTGAAGCACACTTTATAAATGAACAATCATTTTTTGTTGCTGTCTTTGCATATACCCTACTTTGCATATTCATTCATTCATTCATTTTCTTGTCTGCTTAGTCCCTTTATTCATCCGGGGTCGCCACAGTGGAATGAACCGACAACTTATCCAGCAAATTTTTACTCAGCAGATGCCCTTCCAGCCGCAACCCATCTCTGGGAAACATCCACACACACATACACACACACACTCATACACTACAGACAATTTAGCCTACCCAATTCACCAGTACCGCATGTCTTTGGACTGTGGGGGAAACCGGAGCACCCGCAACGTAGAACATGCAAACTCCACACAGAAACGCCAACTGAGCAAAGGTTCGAACCAGCGACCCGGCGACCTTCTTGCTATGAGGCGACAGCACTACCTACTGCGCCACTGCTTGCACTTTGCATATTGCTTTATACAATAAATTTTAGCATGCAGACCCCTGGAAAACAAAATAAACCACCAAATAAACTATGACACCTTACAAGCAAAAGTGCATAAAAGTCACTCACCACCTGGAATTCTCATGAATACTTTAGTAAGTGTATCTCCTGCGATGATGTTGTAGCTGATCATTGCTGCATGTGGGATTAGAAATGCAACAGATATTCACACAAATGCAACTAAAGGTCATTTTTAGGACAGAAAGGAGATGTTAATTACCAATGAACGGATAAAGAAACTGTAGAACCGACACGATGATGTATCCTATCTGGCCAAACGTGCTTCGAACCAGAGATTGGTAACTGTGGGTGCCGGACAGATTCCCTCCTCTGACCAGAAGAATAATGGAGTAATCTGGTGAAAGACCAAAAACATTTAAGTGTTAAATGCAGGTACTTTAAGCATTAAATATATACCCTTTACTTTAGTCAAAAACTAAAACACTGATGAAAAACTCCACAGTGAGGAGGGAAAACTAGACATTCACAGAGTCTGTGATGAAGATGAGGTTGTTTCTTCATGCAACATTAAATTTAATTAATTAAATTTAATTAATTAAATTTAACTCCTTTATTTTAGAGATTTTTTGGTTTCCTTTTGACTCAATGTGCAAACAGTATACATAAAGCATGTGCATTTGCAGTGTGCACCTGTAATGAAGGCAACCAGAATAAGCAGCAGAAGACCCATTGGCAGTCCGGCCTGACTCATGGAATATGGTAAACCTATAAAGGAATTAAACAAGAGATCAGAGATTAGTCCTGTTTAGTAAAAAAAGCATGGTTTTAATTGCAGGCTTGGATAGTCATTTGGTGCAGTGTTTCTCAACCACGTTCCTGGAGGACCACTAGCTCTGCACACTTGCCATGTCTCCTTAAACGAACATACCTGATTCAGATCATCAACCCAGAGACTGAAAGGCCCGTAATGGGTGTGACAGACAAAGGAGACATTTAAAACATGCATTGTTGGTGGTCCTCCAGGAACATGGTTGAGAAACACTGATTTATTGTAACTAAATACACAAACACGACATTCTAGTGGAAAAGTTAGATGCATTTATCACCGCCAAAACTAAGACAATAATCACATTGCTAGATTTGCAATGTTGAGTTAGATTATAAATGACCTGGAACCACAGGTAAAAACACATAAGATTTGTGAAGACGCTGCAGAAATTAACCATATTATAGTGAAAGTTAATCATCTGCATGTGTTTTTAAGGTGACTGTGAGCATTTTAAGAGCATTTAAATAGTGCATAAAATAGTTTAATAGCAATTCATTCATTTTCTTTTCGGCTTAGTCCCTTTATTAATCTTGGATTGCCACAGCGGAATGAACCACCAACGTATCCAGCATATGTTTTACACAGTAAATGCCCTTCCAGCCGCAACTCATCACTGAGAAACATCCATACACACGTATTCACACACATGCTTTATGGTCAATTTTAGCCTACCCTTTTCACCTATAGCACATGTGTTTGGACTTGTGGGGGAAACCAGAGCACCCGGAGGAAACCCACGCCAACAGGAGGAGAACATACAAACTCCATACAGAAATGCCAACTGACCCAGCCGAGGCTCGAACCAGTAACCTTCATGCTGTGAGGTAAACGTGCTACCTACAGCGCCACTGCGTCGTTTAATAACAAAAAATTTTATTGAATTATTCATATGATAAAGACCAAGCAATGGTACTTTACATTTTATAATTAATTTTCTGTACCTGAATACTGTTAACACTGTCCCCGGAAAACCATAAAGCACAGTTTATTCCCTTTAATATTTGCTCCATGGTGTTTATTTATGACTGTAGTTTGTTTATTATATTTATATAATAAATTGCATAAAAATATATATTCATATTTCATTCTCCTACAAAATTATACCAATCAATCTAGATGTATGCATTTCCAAATAAAGCTATTTAAATCCTCTAGTGAAATTGTATTTATAATCGCAATATACACTCACTGGTCAATTTATTAGGTACACCTGTCCAACTGCTCGTTAACGCAAATTTCTAATCAGTCAATCTCATGGCAGCAACTCAATGCATTTAGGCATGTAGACATGATCAAGACGAGCATGGCATGGTTGTTGGTGCCAGACGGGCTGGTCTGAGTATTTCAGAAACTGCTCATCTACTGGGATTGTCACGCACAACCAACTCTAGAGTTTAAAGAGAATGATCAAAAAAAAGAGAAAATATCCAGTGAGCAGCAGTTCTGTGGGCGCAGACACCTTGTTGATGCAGGAGGTCAGAGGAGAATGGCCAGACTGACCAAGAACAGGAAACTGAGGCTACAATTCACAGAGACTCACCAAAATTGGACAATAGAAGATTGGAGAAACGTTGCCTGGTCTGATGACGAGTCTCAATTTCTGCAGCAACATTAGGATGGTAGGGTCAGAACTTGGCATCAACAACATGAAAGCATGAATCCATCTTGCCTTGTATCAATGGTTCAGGCTGGTGGTGGTGTCATGGTGTGGGGGATATTTTCTTGGCACACTTTGGGTTCATTAGTACCAACTGAGAATCGTTTCAATGCCACAGCCTACCTGAGCATTGTTGCTGACCATGTGCATCCCATGACCACAGTGTACCCATCTTCTGATGGCTACTTCCAGCAGGATATCGCGCCATATCATAAATCACAAATCATCTCAGACTGGTTTCTTGGACATGACAATGAGTTCGCTGTACTCAAATGGCCTCCACAGTCACCAGAGCTCAATCTAATAGAGCAGGGGTTCCCAAACTTTTCAGGCCGCGACCCCCAAAATTACCATGCCAGTGAGTCGCTACCCCCAATATATTCTGAGGTGGTTATAAATACAGAAACCTTGCATGCAATGGAGCACACACACCAATGGACCCAAGTCTATTCTTCTTTTAATTTTTTTTAATGTATGAGAGCTGTAAATGGGCAACAAAGTTTTACCAGGTGTTATGAAATCTGCTGCATCTGACACTATTGCTGTGTCTTTAATATAATGTAATTATCACCGGGGGTTGCAATCCAATAGAAGTAGTAACTATAAGCTACTATAGTAACTATATATGGTATAAACGACTATTTTTTCTCTTCAGTAGGTTATGGATAAAATATGGTAATTCTTATGGTTTAATAAAAATAAATAGATTTTTGGAAATCACCAGGCGACCCCCCTTCATTGTCCCGCGACCCCTTGGGGGGTCCCGACCCCCACTTTGAGAACCATTGCAATAGAGCACCTTTAGGATCAGGTGGAACACGAGATTTGCATCATGGATGAGCAGCCGACAAATCTGAAGCAACTGTGTGATGCTATCAGTTCAATATGGAGCAAAATCTCTTAGGAATATTTCGAGTACTTTGTTGAATCTGTGCCACAAAAGATTAAGGCCATTCTAAAGGCAACAGGGGGTCCAACCTAGTACTTGTAAGGTGTACCTAATAAAGTGACCGGTGAGTGTATATGTACATCAAGAGAGAGAAAAAAATATATATACAGTTGAAGTCAGAATTATAAGCCCCCTTTTGATTTTATTATTTCTTTTAAATATTTCCCAAATTATTTTTAACAGAGCAAGGACATTTTCACAGTATGTCTGATAATATTTTTTATTCTGGAGAAAGTCTTATTTGTTTTATTTCGGCTAGAATAAAAGCAGTTATTAATTTTTTTAAAAACATTTTTGGGACAAAATTATTAGCCCCTTTAAGCTATATTTTTTTTTCGATAATCTACAGAACAGACCACTGTTATACAATAACTTGCCTAATTACCCTAACCTGCATAGTTAACCTAATTAACCTAGTTAAGCCTTTAAATGTTACTTTAAGCTGTATAGAAGTGTCTTGAAAAATATCTAGTAAAATATTATTTACTGTCATCATGACAAAGATAAAAAAAACAAGTTATTAGAAATGAGTTTTTAAAACTATTATGCTTAGAAATGTGCTGAAACAATCTTCTTCCATTAAACAGAAATTGTTGAAAAAAATAAAGAGGGGCGCTATTAATTCAGGGGGGCTTCAGGGGGGCTTCAGGGGGGCTAATAATTCTGACTTCAACTGTATATTGCAACGGCAAATTTTTCCAGTGTCGTGCAGCCCTCGTCCAAACTCATTGAAAATAAGCCCACTGACAAATATCCTCTGAAGCATAAACGTGAAGTCTCCTTTTTTAGGGTAGTGGAAAAAATCTAGAGATTAACTAGTCTCCTTCATACTAATCTGGCAGGTGATAGAGCAAAGAAACAACAACTACCGTTAATCCATACTCTAAAGTTTTCCTACTGACCTCTTCTAGACTGTTATAGTATATAAGAGGATCAACTATCATAGGAAACTTTTTTTTCCTCTTGTTTTTCCTGCAGCAGAAGCATGTGAACTGACTAGGGTTGTTCTTTAGTCATATGATTGAGTGCCGTGTGGAATCTGAGCTCGTTTTCAGATCCACCAAAACATGCACAAATATACAACTGATAAGTAACTGACTTACAGAACAGACTTTTACTTTATATCCAGAAGTGAAATATAAAGGTTATATTTTATAGTTTAACACAAAAAGATGAAAAGAAGCATGGAAACAAATTACACTGTCAGTCAAGATTATGAATGAATTAATGAATGAATGAATGAATGAATGAATGAATGAATGCATTTATAGCCATCAAAACATTGAAACAACAGATGAAAGCATGAGAATTATGTAGTGACTAAATTAATTTGAACTAATCATATTTATAATATATTTCTTTTTGATAAAAAAACCACTGTGATACAATATAATCCACTTATTAAAGTAGTCCAAATGCATGTTGGGACAGATGATGATCCCCCCCCAAAAATAAAAAATAAAATCAGCTCCAATATGTTAAAGTAATAATAATAATAATAATAATAATAACAACAACAATAACAATTTCTAAAAGATAATGATTACAAAAAATAAGATTAGTTATGGGAATGCCAGAAATAAAATGATTGAATTTGTTGAATATTTTTAAGAAAAATGTTTTATCTAATTTATTGATTGTTATTAATTTATTCTTACTTTTATTCTTAATTTATTTTTACTTATTAATTTTAAAACAACAATAATAAAGATAATAATAATAATGATGATGATTTTCATTTACATGAATTTAAAGCAATAATAATAATAATAATTACAACAATATTGATGATGATGATGATGATTTCCATTTACATTAATTTAAAGCAAGAATAATAACCATCATTTTCATTTACATGAGTTTAAATCAATAATATTAATAATAATAACAATGATAATAATAATAATATGAATAACAATTTGTTTACATTTAATTAAAATAATAATAATAATAATAATAATAATAATAATAATTATTATTATTATTATAAAAACAATCTCCGAAAAATGAAGATTCCTTGCGTTTAGTAACAGGAATGCCATAGTTTACCATTTTTGCTTCCCCAAAGAATAAAATGTTTCTTAATGTGAATAATATTATAGTCAATAATTAATGTTTTGAAGGTTAAAATGTTCTTCATTGAACCATCATGTATTTTTAAGAATGTAATACAGGGTTCTTACACGTTTTTTGAAATCCAAATCAAAGCATTTTTAAGCACTTTCCAGATGCATTTTCAAATGACATATTATGTATTATTTTACATATTTAAATACATATAAAGTGCATACTACATTATTTCCGATGCTATTTGTTGTAGTATTCTGCAGTATATATTGTAATATTTCGAAGGGAAAAAGAATCATTTTGAATTACTGTTATTTAAATGTAATTTACTCACATTTAAAATTTAAAAAACAGACAGTTTTCACTTGTTACATTTATGCAAAAGCAAATGTTTAGATGTTATCTGGTATAGTATTCTGTAGTATACTAAAAACGCTATTATAGCGTATATATATAAAAAACGCTATTATAACTTACACATATATACATTATATATATTTGTATATAATACATATATATATATATATTATTAAGGGTATAACAGATCACAGTTGATGTGTGATTCGTATGGATCATAACCCACAGTTCGGAACACACCTGACCTGCGGATTAATAGTTTTTTTAACTTGTAGATTAATTCTAAATTTGTAATGATCGCTGACAGATCAAATCAATTTTAGGCTTTTCTGTTAAATATAATGATGACTGAACAAGTTATGGTAGGTTATTCGGGATGTGGTGGGTTTCTTAGGTTATTAAAGGTGTTTCCTACTTGTTTAGCCTGCAGTAATACATTCAGTGTAAGCTGCCCCATTAGGCATTAAAAGATCGAGATCTCAACACCCACGCAACATAAATTATAAATGATGGGGATTTGCATATTTTATTATTCCTTGAATCGCTGCATTCAAATCTGAGTTTGAATAACGCAACAATCAGGAAAGAGATTCAGTCTTTAATCTTTTGAGTTAGTTATGAAGTTACAAACACTTAAATAGCACGGAAGTACTGGGACAACAGTTTATAGTTCAGATAAAACCACTGATGTTTATGGTAAAGATTAAAATCACCATCATGCATTTAACTTGATGCTGAAAATGAAAGTTGTAGGTAGCAATTACATTATTTAACCAATAGGCTGCGACAAACAGCTCTTAAAATATGCCACTGATTATATCTTCAAAAATGATCATCTAGCAATGAAACATGAAGGTTTACCAGTGAATACTAAATAAATTTTTTTGAAAATGAGAGTAAAAATGAATATATGGGTTGTACAAATTATAATGTTAGATTTCTACATTTAGCGTTATCAGCAAC